AATTCAACAAGTCTGCCATATGAGAATAAGTCGATCATAAAAATCTGTGGTTTCTTATAAATCTGTTGTGTCATCCGACAGACATATTTAAAAAATCGGTTTTCTTTACAAATCGAGCAAAATATAGACAAATCTATTGTGTCATCCGATAGACATATTTAAAAATTCTGTCGTGCGATAGATTTAAATAAATCTGCCGGCGACCTAAGAAAATTAAATTTGTTTTTTTGTATAACTATAGCCAAGGACAATTTTGACCAAAAAAACATTCTAATAAATCTGAAAAAATTATGAGTCATTCTAGTAATAACACCATTAATTTGAGTCATTCTAGTTTTTCTCCCTTAAGAAATTAACATGAAAACATGAGGATTGCTTATCGTCAATAGCAACACAACTTGATGGGGTAAGATCGTTACTGAGCTGAGTGATATGTGAATAAGAATTTCAGTATCTTTGCATGTGCATCATTGGCAATCAGAAACCTTCTCGAGCATGAAAATATAACAGATTATGTTGCATCCTCGTTGGTCACAACTTCAATTAGGGATCGAGTCGAAAGTGGTTTAAATTCACTATCGAGCAAGAGAACCCTAGAGCCACCCCCAGGTTGCGTACACTTCACGGCTCCAGAATATCGACGCTCAGTTCATAAGCCATATATATGTAACATGTTTGTGTATAATTTTTTGATAACTGAGTATATTAGTTTAACTTACCTAGAAGACAGCTGAACCAATAAAATTGTATTAAGCAAATGTTAAATTTGATGTCTGAAACCTGATTTGTATGTAAACATTCATGTTAACCTCTAATCTACAGTAACTCACGTTAATTTTCATAGTCTATGATTCAACAACATACACTAATGCATTTTGAGATCGGGAAAGTTGATATAGAGATCTTAACGATTTTTGTAAAGAAACCACTCTTAACAATTTTTTTAAAGAAACCACTCTAACAATCCCCCTATATATTAAATGAGAAGTCAAAACTATAGAACTATAGAACTAAATTTTATTTTTGATTGTGTTCTATGAACTTTTACAAGAGAAATGTATTATAATATTTAAGGTTTTTAAGAATGTTTGTGTGTAAAAGATATATGTTAGTTTATTTTTAAGATTTTAATAATCTTATTAAATTTAGGCGTTTTTTTAAAGTTGATATGAAAATAATAATCTACTTCTTTAACTTAAAAGACTAAGTATTCTGAATTATATAAATAAATTTTGTGAACAATTCAAGTATAACTTTATCTTGTTTTAAAATTCTTTGGAAAAGATCATTTATATAATTATAATCAAGGTTTTTAGTGTTTATAATAAGTCTTGCATATCTATTTGTATTTTATACTAAGTTGTATATTAAGCTAGAGGTCGGTACATGCTCTGAGTGGAATGCTTACTTTATAAAATACTAGGGGAATCCCGCGCGACTTTTGATGACATGGTGCTCATACAAAGAGTTTCAGAAATTCTTATAACTTCATTTGTTGAAAGTTTTTGAGTTTTTCAATTTTTTTTTTTAAAACATCACCGATCAAGTTAGAGCATACTAATTAATATATACATTGTCGAACAGAGATAAAACAAAGAGTTATCATTTACGGTTTGTCTTTTTTTAAACCTCTTTTCTCATTTCACCATGAAGAAAAAAAACTCGATGCAAAACCCTAGACGAGAGAAGATGTCGGATCTTAGATACTCGATTTGGTATCACATTGGAGGATTTGTAGAGATCTGATTGAGAAGATCTAAACAAGAGAATAGGAGAGGGGATGAGAAGAGTCATGTCGGATTCTGATAAAGAGAACGAGAGTCAGATTCTGGAACCTGGGGAAAATCTTATGGATCCACCTTCTTCAATCGATGATCTTCTTTCTCTCATTAACGTGTACTCTTCACCAATAAAAATTCCTTTTTATAACTTAATTCGATTTGGGGATTAGGGTTTCTTGATTCTCTCCTCATTTCTCAATTCCCAAGTCACCCCCATCGGCTTGCTGTTGAAATAATCAAATTCAAGTAAAAAACCATACCATTTAATCAAAAGATCTGACCTCTAAAAAATGATGATGAAAGATTTGTCTCTTACAAGAGAAAGAGAAGAGGAAGAGAAAGAACAAGAAAATGCCAAGAAACTCATGGAATAAGCAGAGAGGGAGCACATGTTCGACAAAGTGGTGACTCCAAGCGACGTCGGGAAACTAAACCGGCTCGTGATCCCTAAGCAATATGCAGAGAGATACTTCCCTTTAGATTCGACCTCAAACGAGAAAGGTTTGCTTCTAAACTTTGAAGATCTCTCAGGAAAGTCATGGAGGTTCCGTTACTCTTACTGGAACAGTATCCAGAGCTATGTCATGACCAAAGGTTAGAGTCGTTTTGTTAAAGACAAAAAGCTTGATGCCGGAGATATTGTCTCTTTCCAGAGATGTGTCGGAGATTCAGGAAGAGACAGACGCTTGTTTATCGATTGGAGGAGAAGACCTAAAGTCCCTGAGCATCAGACATCGTTTGCTCACATTTCTGCTGGATCTATGTTTCTTAGGTTTTACAGTTTTTTCTTCTTTCTCATTTTTCATTTCTCTTTGATATTCATCTATGGTAACTAAAATTCTCTAATTTGGGGGTCTGCAGAGATTGGAGTTTCTTGGGGAAGCTGTGCTGGACAACTTGATGACATCCTAATTTTTCTCACTCTTCCAGAAACTGAAACCTGGACAACTTGATGACATCCTATTTAGGGGCCCTTTTCCTCGGCTGTGGATTGAACATGTATCATGTCTAGAGAATAATGCTATGTTTTTGGAATCTAGTGAAAAACTTGTTTAACTGCAGCTTAGTCCTGAGCAAGAACTTCTTGAATATTGCCAGTTTTACAAGTGGGATCAGGAGATACCAGCGACAAAGAAGGATAGTGTCATCTCTGTTGAATTAAAAGTGACCAAGAAAGATTCTAACTAGTGCTTCTGCAACTGGTCGGAACAAGAAAGAAAGTACAAAAAACTGCACAGCTGATGCTTACAAACATGAAGGTACTTGATTCTTGAGTTCCTTCTATTTATATGATGTATTTCTATCTTTCACTGGATGTGGTGCTTCAGTACAACTGCACTAACACAATTCCAAAACAGATGTTGTAGAGGTTATAGGGTTATTAATCACCCGAATTAATAATATTTTTATGGTAATAACTATAGATTATAGAGTTTCTGGAATTTACTTATATTTAGTGTTGTTGCATTTGTCGTCTAATGATGCCAGAGAGTGAGCAAACGTCCAGTGAGAATAAGCACTGTGGCTTGAGAGAAGAGGAAGGATTCTATGTGCGAGGTTGCTGTCCAAGATGTTTGCTTAATCTTTACTCGAAATTTTTTTTACAGTGAATACTGTTGTTTTCTGTTTACTTCTGATATTTTAGTTTCAATGATCGAACAGAACGTTATGAAGATTGATTAACGTTGAAGCCTCTCTAGAATCTGTTTGCTCACCATTCTGGAAATCCAGTTCCACCAGCTTATCCACAACTCATTAATGCTATATACAAAGCGTAAGTCTTTTGTACCCGAAATAATTTTAGATTGATAACATTTTGGTTCAGTTTGGTAGTGATAAATGAGTAATGTCTACAGCCTATTTACAAAATCCCAAATATAATGGGTAGTTAAGTTAACATTTTGGTTTGGCTTGTTAGTGATAAATGAGTAGTGATCCTCCAAGATTTAGAGAAGCCCAAATATAATGGGGATTTAGATTTGGGATCTATAATTAATGGCTTCATTCTGGATAAAAAATTGGCTAAAATTTCTTACCTTATTTTGGATTACTTGCGCAAGTTGAGTAATTAATTCGGGTGATTAATAACTTACCTTATTTTCAAATCAGATTACTTGCGCAAGTAATTCTCATATTTATTACATTGTTTAAATGCAATCTATCTTAATGTTTCTTATTTGCTAATTGGTTTTAAACAACCTACCTTATTTTGAATACATATTTAAATTGTTTCATTATTTATGGAAAATATCCCCCTAATAAAAATTTAAAATTTTTAAATTTTTACGTTTGTTTGTTTCTTCTATTAACCGTTAAATGATACAGACAAAATATCGGGTGTAGTTGACTACAAACCAGTTTTCAGACTATTTTGATAATGGTATATAAATTTAATATTATGTTCGTCTGAATAAAATTTAGTAATTTAAAATTATTTGATATCATACAATTGCTAACAAAATTAAATTACTTTTTGTAGGTTTCGTTGGGATTTTTTCCGAAGGGAATTGTACTTCTATTTTATATTACTTATAGATTATATTTTAATTTTTTTCATATTTTCTTTTAATATGTCACTGTTTTAAAACATAAATGTAAAAACAAAAATAGAACATTTCACCTAAAATATACAATTACAACATTCATACAACATAACTTCACTTAGTGATAATATAAAATATGTAGCTTCTAAAACTGAACACTATTATTTTTTTTTTATATTTTGAATATTTTATGCCTTCACAGGCTGCTTCCGAAAAGGAGCTATGCAACTCGTTATTTATCTACCATATTTCATTCTGAAAATTTCACAGATCATGTCTCAACATTGTAACTCTCACTAGTCTTACTTTCTTCCACACTGAAAATGCACTGTATGTCATTATCAACTTTCTTGTATTTGCAATACATGAAGATCAATGAATTCAATGCTTAAACATTTATATCAACTAGGGGGCGGTCGGCGCTACGCGCCGGGTATTGGTGTCTGACCCGAGAATTTTAAAATAATTTAAATATAGGTTGTTTGATTTGAACACTATACTTCAGTTTGTATAATATTCAACCGCTGGTTGTTTGGAAATCATAGGTGCAAAACAAATTTCCTTTTTCTTTTTAGAAGTGAATTTTCGTAGATTTAGTTATCACCACTAATTCATGCTGGATGTTTTTTTTAATAAACCGGTTTGTTGTATATTTTATTAATAATATATTATTCGCGTTGCTTTCTTTTGCATGACATGTGATAGTTGAACTAATATGCATTCATATAAAAAGGACGTATTTTTTTTGTTTTTTTTTTAATAAATGTTGATAATATAATGCAAAGATGAGGTACTCATGCAATTTTTTTTTTCAAACTGAATGCTGATAATGAGAAAATTAAAGTAACATAGAAGTTGAATGTGTAGACGGTAAGAGCGGAAAGCGTATACGGTTGATGTTCATTCCATGATCTCGTTGAAACCCATAATCATCTTGTAAAAGTGGATTAGCAGAGAGTAGTGGAAACACTTTGAACAGACCGTTGTTTCACCTCGTGCTTCAAGATGACAATTTAGATCCGGCCACATCTTTAGGATTGAGTTGATGCAGACATCTTTCATGTGAAGAAGTTGTGGTTGAACGGACCGCTGGAATTCTGCCATGCAATCTTCGACCACTGTAACACCTTTATCATCGGTGAGGGCGTTGATGATGGTGATGCCTTCGGCAGTCTGGCCTATGGCTAAGAGTAGAACACCGTAGACGTATCTTCCTTGTATGTGATCACGATCTGCTGCTATTTTGATGTGATATAGTCCCAGAGTCCTATTTTGGGCTTGGAAAATTGTAGAAATCCTTTAACAAAGTGAGCATCCGTGTTGTCCACTGTGACGCAGGTTTTTAACAGATCCGTGCGTCGGTTAGCTATAGCTGGTTTCTTTACAAAACTTGTTAGGTTGAGAGAATTGGCAACGTCGGTGTTCTTGTAACTGAAGCTAAAGCTTTTGCAGGAGATGATTGTGTTGTAGTAATCTTGTGGTGAGTTTTTCCCAACTTTTGACACAATCAGAAGACGTAGGTCTTCGGGGAGTAAGTCAAGTTTGAGCGTATGATGTGTTTTTTTTCTCCATTTTTTTTCCTTTTAGTTGTGGATGTAACTATGGATGGGAGTTTTTGTTTGCTGTATTTTTTTTATATATTACAGTGGAGAAGGAGGTGTGGTGTGTTTGGTAGAGTTCCTTTTTTGTTTTAAGTTTTTTTTTCCTTCGATTGAGTGGTTCGCTTAATTGGGCATTTAACAAATGTGTTTTATTGTTCAAATATATGTATGAGCGTTACGTTTAATATTGAATTAAAATAGATCTGGAATTTTGAATAATTGTTTAAAAACCATCACAGCCATTGGTTCTCACAATCAGGAGAGTAATATGTATATTATAAGGTAAAAGTTATTTTATATTTTGGCTTTTGATTTGTAGTTTTTTTTTGGGCTAGGATTATAATTTTTTAGATGAAGTGATTAGGAGAGAGGATGTTTAACCCCTTTTTTTGCCCGTGTTAAAATTTTTGTTTTAATTTTTGCGTAATCTGGAATTTTATGTAATTATGCTGGTTTAACGTTTCTTTGAACGAAATGAATTTGGTAGTAATTTCTGGAATTTGCGTAAAAATTGTTATCATCCGTGATTAATGGACACCAGAAAGGGAATGTCTAATGGACAATTTCGAATAGCATCAAACCTGGACGGCTCCCACTTGTAGAGGCAGCAGCTGTGGATGACAGAATAATTTTCATCAGCAGTACAAAACTGGTTATGAATCTTTGAAAATATGATTAGTTATATGGGAGTTCGTACTCTTACAAAGGTTGAGAGCTCTTTTTGACTTTTGCTTCTTCAAACGCAAAGCTCTAGTCATGCTTGTGTTAACTTTCATTCCCCCAAAAAAAAAAAGGAAAAAAAAAATGGTAAGGAGCCAGATGAGTTGGTTTTTGGGTGCATTGCTCAAACTCACCAGCATTACTGTGCTCAGGATAGTGATTATTGGTAGTGTTATCTTCTGTCGCCATGTGTTGATGGGATGCAGCTGTGAAAATGAATAACGAACGGTGGATTGTGGAAGACGTCAAACAGGAAGCAGATAACTTCGTATGAATGTTTACAAACTAACTTTTTAATGAAGTTTAGGGAAATTTGGAGTTAAGAACTCTAGGGAGCTAAGAACTAAAGATTCATCATTTCAAATTTGGAAAGTGGCTCTGTGGTTTCCATAGTATATTTTGGCTTAGATGGGTAGGGAACAATATAAAATATGGACCAAACATCCGTACTGAGAGAGAATAGGTGGGTTTTGTCTTTATCGCTGTAACTTACCAGCATTCGTGGGTGCAGCATGCGGAGGAGTAATAGTCGTATCTTCAGTAGTGATGGCTTGAGGTGGTGAAGCTGAAACACGTCTTGCCCGGATTAACTGTATGCGGTGTTTGCGGGCAAGCCTAGCATTTGTCACTGTAAATGTTTGTAAAATTTTAAACATCAACGCTTTTCCTAAATAAATATTGTTAAACGTTGATGGGGTGTATGAGGTATGCTTACCTTTTTGTGGATCACGGTTTGAAGTGGACCTGAGGGAGTTTGTTGTCGGAAGGGGTAGATATTGTTCTTGCAACCAAGGCTGGCGTTGCTCTGACACTGAAGGAAAGATAGATTGTTGAGCAAATTTTAGGAAAGATGGAAAAATATTATAATTTAACGTTTCTCGTGGCCAAACCTTTTTTCTTCTTACAATTTTACGACGCTGTTGACAGATTAACGAAGCTTTCACTCCTCCGTGAGCTCCCTTCAGATGCTTTCATTGGAACTCCGACAGAAGCTTTGACCATGTGTTCCAAAATCTAAAAGGATAGATAGAAAGGAAACTGTTTCGGAAACAGATTTCAGCGGTAAAAACTACAGAGCAAAGTTTGCAACGGTTAAATTTCCTTGTCCCACTGCCTGAATATATGCTTATACATTTCATCTGGGAGGTCAGAAGCCAATATAGAACGGTTACGGTTTCACTGAATCTATCATTAAAATATATTTTCACTGTTTAACCCTTGAGTCAATCATAAGTTTAAGTCGAAAAATCCTCCAACATTTCTAGAAGTTTAGGCTTCTTTGTGTTTTTTTTTCAGATCATGACGTTTTTTGTGGTGAGTACGTTCTAAACAATGGGAAAATAGTTCTATTATAAGTTGGTCGTGACTCGTGCATGTAAATGAAAAGGTTTCATTGCAACTGTTCATTTTAAAAAAAAACTATATTATCTAAATGGTACATCAAATATTCTTTACATCATTTACTCTCTTAATTGTACATCACTTATTCTTTACATCGACCTTTAAAAAATCAAAGGTAGCAGCCATATTGCAAGCATTGTAATTCAGTAGAATGTAGAACATTAGACGACAAATCAGAAGCTGTTGAGCACAATACAGAGACGTGACACAAACGACGAATTTGATTGATCTAAATGTATTATATGTTCATAGAATCCAAAATTTGAAGACGTCCATATGCTATGTTTGTAACCTCTTAGATGAGTTGAAGTTAGTTTAGTACCACCAACTAAACCAAACCAATATTTTTTTTTTGATAGTGAGTCTGACGATGCCATAAAAGGAATCTATATAATAATAGTACACTTTTGAAAGTCCTCATCGTGTCCACACCACGGTAACAAGTTTGCGGGCTCGTGTGTGTTATTAGGGAAAACAAAAATGTATAACATTTTGTAAGATTGAATGTTATCAATAAGTGATGAAATGGCCCAGTGGTGAAAGTTGGTGACGAGAAGTTGGTACCGTGAGTGTGTGGGTTCGCAACGCAGTGCTTGCATGTAATTTTTTTTAATTTGGGCTTTTCGGAATACCTGAAAGCTTAGGGAGATTCAGAATGATTTTTTATGCTGGTTGTTGGGATACAAAATGGGTTAAGGATTTGAAACTTAATGAGACCATCTTAGATACTTTTATAAGAAAGGTTATCATGTTCTAACCTCCAATATCATTTCAATTCAGTTATAATCATCAAATAAAATAAAAACATATTTTTCAATAATAAATATTTTCCCCGAACCATTCAGATCGACAATAAATCTCATATACATCACAATTAAAAAAAATATATATATATATACAATATAATTTCAGAAAGAAAATTACACTAATAAACACATTTTTTTTTTGTCTCGTCTCCATTAAATTATTTTTTTACATGAAATCACTAATAACAGTAATGCTCGATAAAATCACTAATAAAGGGAATGCTCGATAAAATCACTACAAAGATAAAATATGATAATATCAACCCATATGAATTTGATACTTATTCTTTTATCAGACTAATCAAGTTGTGTGACTTTTAATGTTTCATTCATCACCATTATAGATAAGCCAAATAAACAAATGTTAAAAAATAACAGCAAAGTCTCATACACAAAACTACACAACACATCAACAACGTATCTAATCCCGCGCTTGCGCGGAGACTATGCATCTAGTTTAGATAATGGTAGAAGACTTTCTTAAAGTAAAAAAACGACCAACCACTGGACCAAGATTTGACGCGGGAGGCTAACAAAATCAAGCATGTGCTGGTAGAGAAGAAGTGTTTGGTCGGGATTGTTATAACACTCATTTTACTCATGATTTTTTGGGTGGATTTCCTTCGGGTTCAAAGGTTTCCTTCACAGCAGGGTCAAGCACCTCCAGAGGATGTTCAGTCGTGATGGATTCGCCAACGGCATTGCTTGAGCTGATACCTGTTGAGCCGGAACCTGATCCTAAAGTCTCAGTGTATGCTGTTGCAGCATCCCCTCCACCTTCCTGCCATGGAAAATTTCAAAAAATACCATCATATATTTCAAAACCCCAAAAATAAAAACAGAAGGACAAGAATAAACACACACAGCAACGTTGGGTTTGGCGCAAGCTCGCGTGCTGGAAAAATCCAAGAAATGGTAAAGGTTTGCTGATTTGGAGTGAAGTTGAAATCGGTTAACTTAAGCTGGAAAGTGTAGGTCTTATCGACAACAGCTGCAAGAGACCTAGGGATATCAGTGTCCACCTCAGCATTAGCACAAATTCCCTGAAGCAAGTTTCAGTAAAGGTTCTTCAATCTAGGTATTAAGGGAAAGTTTAAGATACCACAATCTTGGCCGCCTCCGATGCCAGTACATTAGTCAGTTTGGCAACCTCTTTGTCGAAGCCAACAAAGGCTGCTGTTCCTGTGACGTCGGATACAGAGAAGACAACTCGATACCTGTTGGACATTGAGTTCTGTTAGTTTATTTATCTGTTTGCAACAAACTGGCAATTTGCACTACAAACCTGAGTTCAGCTACAGCATTAGGTAGATTGCATGAGACGCATGTGAATGATGTTTCCTCCCGGAGAAGTTTTTTGGAACAAATAGAGCAGCCAATGTAACACCATCCATCATCTAGCTGACACCAGTTATGTTGGCGGTACAGATAAACTCAATGATCTGACAGCACATATCATTTAATTTTAGTTTCCAGAATGTCAGTATGGGACGCAAGCCTAATAATATGGATTTATACCTGGGGATCACCGGTTAAAACAAAGTCGTTAAACTCTTTAATGGTGAGGGGGTCGATCTTTTGTGCATGAACCACCTTTGATGAGGACCCTGCCTGGTCCGCACCACCCCCAGGAAAACTGTATTGAAATTAAGAGGGGAAACAGTTAACGGTGTGAGGTTGTGAAGTACACCTTTCAATTGATGGGGAGAAATTTAAAATTTTAAAAACAAAATGGTAAACATCGACGTCTTATAATAGTGGAAAACAGAAAAACTTGCCGGTTGTATACCTCTTTCCCAACAGTCGTTTCACAGTCAAAAAATACACGTGTAGCAGAAGTGCCATTGAGATATATTCTACCTGCGGAAAACGTCTACGCGTTATCAAGGAGAAGGGGCCGTAGAAACTCGAATGGAAAACTACTACATCAACTAATAATCTACCTGAAGCTATCTTTGGATTGATGCTCGTTATTAGGACTATCTTGGGCTCTTTTCCGTAAGCATCAAACTTGTCATGGAATGCAAGAGCCAACGCATCGAACATACTCACGCAGACTTCATCATCACTTTAAAAAATGATCGGAACAAAGACAAAAGATAGGGTTACTTAAATAGACCATTTAAAAATTTGGATAGGAGTAAACGCTTCTTACATTGCCATTCTTATTGTTAGCATAACCCGAGGTGCCCCTGGAAGACGGTCTGTGATGGTGCTCTGCAGCGCACGAAGCTCACCCATAACATCTACCAAATCATAGAGCGCGCAAATTAATTGTCTTCTAAGAAACCACAAACCAAGCCGTTTGAATTAAACATATTTTTGTGACTTTAACTTTTTATATTTTGTCTTATATCTCACAAATGTAGGCACGGCACTGTGTAGCGCCAGTGTGTTCCTAAAAAAACTAATCAAGTCAATTGCTATTTTTCTATATATCTAAGATTATTTCACTGTTTTCATAGTTTAAATATAAAAATCAGTGTTCTAAAAATGGTTTAAACAACCGCACTAGACCCTATAAACTGTGTCGGTTATCTTTTAAACCGCCTAAACAACTACAATACTTTAATAATTAATATATTATAATATTGATTTTTATGAGAATAAAATAAAATAACATAAATTTTATCATTTATAAATAATGATATTTAGCATAAAACAATACATATATTTATTTTTCTTTTTATAACAGTAAAACTTTAGATGTAAAGATTCATGAAAAATGTAGATAATCGGGGTTGGTGTGTTTGGTTACCTTTCGGTTTTTCCATGTTTGTTTTTGTTTTTGTAATACTCTTTTTTCATTCCTAATGTTATATTTATTTGGTAGTTTTTGTCTATGAGAAAATCTACAAAATTTGTTGATTTATAAATAAACATAAATAATATCTATATATGACTAAACATATTTAAAAATAAGTAAACTAACATGAGGGATGGTCTTGATATATAGAGAATACATGAGACTTCGTTTCTACTACCACTTTTAAGCTCCACTTTTTGCATTGTAGTGTTCTCAAGTTTATCATGGGAGTTGTTAATTTTTTGGCAGCAAAACACTTTTATAAGAGGCATTATAAAATGTTCTTTAAAGTGAGTTTGTTACTTTCCTTACTCAAATTACCACCATCAAAACCAATAAACATTTTCTAGCTAATCGAAAATCAATTTAGTCTATTTGAAAATTATATTTGATCAAGTGTATACGTTAAAAGGATAAATATTGTATGTAGGTTAGAGGTACAGATTTATGGAAAGATTAACATGATGCAGAATATGATTTGAGTTGGAGTGTTTGAGTGTATTTAATCTCACTTACCTGAACTTTAATTTTCATCTGTCATCTTTGTATTAAGCTTCGTCATAGAAAACATGTATTTCTTTTTTTTTTTTTGAAAATAATTTCTCTTAGAGATCGTCAAAAATAGTCTCATTTAGCTGGTTAGAAATTTTGAAAATCTCATCACCTTTTCACAGAGAGAATCAATACCTATTGCAAAAAAAAAAAAAAAATAGAAAATTACAAAGAATTCACGTAGAGGTGAATTTATAGCATAATGAGTAAATCTTACTCTACATGTAACAGTTTTAAGATCGTGTGATCATGTGAGAAATTATAGGGACTTTTTTATATTGATTTTTTTTTTTTTTATATGGAAACTAGATTTTGACCCGCCCTTTTTAAAGGGCGGGTATATTTATATTTTTATTTTTTAGAATTTAGTTTTATATGCATATTTATATTTTATTTGTAATAGTATTTGTTTAATTATTTATCAATAATATAAAAAACCTAGTATTATTAATATAAATGAGTAAACACAAATAATAAATTGTTGGATTAAACATTTTTCAATAGGTCATAAATAATTAGACCAAAAAGTATGAATATAATGTTTAACTTTTTTTTTTTGTATAAGTTTCTGTAAATAACTTTAAAATTTATGTATGTTTTGAATTTGAGCTAAGAATAATTTATTTGGATCCTGGAATGTTATTATTTGTTAAGTAAATATTCACAATTTAAATTAGATATGGGCCATATTATTAAATAACAAATAAGAGTAAAGAAAATATATGTATCTCATTAAATTAAAATTGGAGTTTAAGTTATGCAGAAAACTGAACACGATATTGACGTGGGAAGAAAATATATCAGGTTTTCAAATTAAAATACGTGGTTTTAGAGGCAGTTTTGCCAAAAAAAGAAAAAGCTATAGCAAGAAATGGACCTGATAGAACTAAATATTAGTTACAAAGTATATACTGTGACGTTCGTAGTTAGTTAGTAGGTCATGTGGTTAGAATTGTAATATAATTTGATGCAGTTATAAAAATGGTTAGACATAACATTTATCAATAGGTCATATTCTATTTTAATAGAATAGATAAATAGAAATCAGTTACTGAACATGTTTTTATTTTGCATTTTTTTTACATTTGCATTTTTTATTTAAATTGTTAAATATATGCCATGTGGCAAAGTATGATTGGTCGTATGACTTGTGATTTAATATATAAGAGATATCAGACAAAGTAAAAAAAAAACTCAACAAGCAAGAAAAGTTAAAGTGAATATCTTACAATAAAGTTTTAAACTTCTTTAAAAAATGGTTATCACTACAAAAACTTTAGTTACATTTGTTTTTACTGCTTAATTTATCGTATCTTTTATTGATTGTCATACGACAACTGCGCCAGTTACCCCTGCTAATACTCCAGGAAAAATTATTTTTATATGACAGTTTAACTATAATTACGATCAGGAGGGAGAGCCTAGAAAAAAATTATATGGGTTCACAATGCCAGATTTGTTTTTGTCAAAATTCGAAAATATTAGAGAAATTAGGCTTCATATACATAGAAAATGTCATATTTAAGTGCATACCCTAAACACTATTGCTATTTCTAAACCCCAAGATTACCTCTGTCTATGTCCTTGGCCCCTGCCCAAACTTTTTTCTTCTCCCTCGCGTATCTCTCCCCTTCTTACCAAATAATAATATTATTTATTTCTCTTTCTTATTTTTTTCACAAACCAATTTTCTTTTATTAAAGAATATTCTTCTCTTTTCTATTTCCATCCGTGTAGATCTATTGAATCCATCTGACTTATCGATGAATTCATCTATTTTAGGTTTTTTCACAAGTTTTTTCGAAGTTTACTATGATTTGAAGGTTCTAAGAGTCCATGGTGTTCTTCCGTCAGTTTTTTCTTGTGAGTGCATGATTCAAGGTTGTAAAATCACATAAGCGTATGGATGGACGGGTTCTTCCCGTAATTCCTGACGACGACATGAATCCCTTATTTCAGTTGTGAGTAGTTTATGTTGGCGATTTTTAAATTTGTGGATAAGATGTTTATAAATAGCTTGCGTTAGCTGATACATATTTTGTTAAAGGCTACAAAATTGCTTATTGGACTAATTTATGTGTTACATGGTAAATAACATGTTACATTGAAGTTATAAGTTTTGGTACATGATAAGTTTTTTCCTAATAAACAAGTTAGCCACTAACAATTGATATAACATTTTACATTGAAACTTAGTGTTTAACTTTTTTTCTACAAAGTAATTTTTGTTTATATGATATGTAGTTATTAAAAGTGACATAATAGGTTACTATGCTAACTTAATCATTAGCTTGTACATGTTTGGTTAGTTGTTATTTAACTTGTTAGATGCTTTTTTAAATTTGTTGGTGGGATGTCGAGAAATAGCTAGTGTAACTAATACATGATTTGTTAGATGTTACTAAATAGGTTATTGTTCTAAGTTAATTGTTATCTCTGTACCATTTGATTGGTGTCAAAACTATTGTAGATGATAATTTGGAGAATAAGAAACATATCAATTTATTTAAGAAAAAGATTTAGTTTTAAAATGTTAAAAAAGTTAGGAGAAAAAATAAATGGTAGGTGTGAATACAGGAAAGAAAGAGAAACAAAATAAAATTTCAGAACAGGGGTAAAACGGAAAAGAGAACACAAAAGTGTATAGAAAACAAAGATTTTTTATTGTATTGGGTAGCTTTCTAATTTCTCATCAATTTGGGTATATTTACCCAATTTACTCTATTAAAAATAGGGTCACCGAGGGATCAACCGCACTAGAGTGAATTTACAAATACAGCTTGCAAATTTATAAACTGTTTGTGGTACGTAGGTCTGTCCTGGGTATGTATGATTTTATCTTATTTTGTTTAATATACTCATTGGTTTAATTATATTATTCATATAAATAGGGTGAAAAGTGGGGTTATTTTTATGACCGCTGTGAACCATATAGATGTTATTGTACTCACAAATAGGTATGCGTTCAAAATAAAATATTCTAATAAAATGTATTGGTATTTGTTTGAAAATAACATCAACAGCTTTCGTATCAATATATGATCAGGAGTTGAAATAAAAAAAATTATTGCATTGAAATAGTTTGATTAAATCTAGGTAATATAAATTATTTTGAAAGATTTAAGAGAAAAAAAATATATATCAGAATACAATTTTATATTAGTTTTTTTAATTTATGTAATTAATCAAAAGTCACTAAACTTCTAGTCATACAGTTTCACATAAACATGAAAAATATAAGACAACAATCAATTAGCATGAAGACATGAGGATTCCTTATATATAGTCAATAGCAACACAACTTGATGGCGTAAGATCTTTACTGAGCTGCGTGATATGTGAATAAGAATTTCAGTATCTTTGCATGTGCATCATTGGCAATCAGACACTTCTCGAGCCTGAAAATATAACAGAACCAAAGTTTTGTGGTATAAGACTATTAGCTAGGCCTTGCACCTTGCCTCCCGTCTAAGAGCATCTCCAATGAAATATTCCAATTTTTACTCTAAAATAGAGTAAGGTGAATATAGAGTAGAAATGCTTTATCCCTACTCTATATCTCACTCTATAATAGTGTAATGAACAAACAAAAAATAGATTACTCCATTCATGAAGTAAACTCTATTATGAAGTGAGAAATGGAGTTGAGTTGAAGTGTTTTCTACTCTATATTCCATTTTCCTCCATTTTAAAATAAAAATTGGAGTTGGGTTGGAGATGGCCTAAGTATCTACACATGAGCCTTCAATGACAGTGTATCAACAAAGGGAGATTCCATAACCATAATGGATCAACCTCCCAAAGCAACCATTTTGGCAGCAAATAAATGTCCATTGAAACTCGTCCCAACAATCTCCGTCAAAACCAATTGATATTGCAACAC